TATTTAGAGACAGAGTCACCCGAAATCACTAAGCCGCCTAGGCTGGGCTCTAATTTGAGATCCCCAGAGTGCTTTCAGTTTTTTTGTTTGGTTCTTTTTTGAGATAGACTCTCACCATTTAGGTCAGGCTGGTCTTGAGTTCACGATGTAGCCCAGGCTGGCCTCAAACTCACAGTAGTCCCCCTGCCTCTGCTCCCAGGTCCTGTGATTATAGGCATGTGACACCATGCCCTGCTGCTTTTAGTTCTTTGGCAAAACTGTATATTGTCTGCAAATGTTTTGTATTATGTACAAGGTATAACTGAAAAAATAGTGAATTTTTAAAAAATTTAAGGGGAGATGGCTCAGTAGAATAAGTGCTTCCCTGGCAAGCACAGGGTCCTGAGTTCAATCCCTGATACCACAAAATCAATGAATCAACGAATGAATCAATCGATCACATATACAATAAAAGACACATTGCCATTTGCCTCAAAAATATCCCCACTTCAAACACACTTACCTAATCTTACTTGCCTTTTCTAAAGCAGTTCTGGATCTTTAATAGTGTTGTTATGGATGCTTTGTCTTTTCTGTTACTTTTTTTTAAATCTTTTTTTGGAAGGAACCAGGGATTTGAACTCAGACCCTTGCGCTTGCCAGGCAAGCGCTTATTCTACTGAGCCATCTCCCTGGTCCCTTAATCTTTTTTTAGTTGTGGTAGTTTGTTTTGTTTTGTTGAGGTTTATTTTTTGTAGGGGGATTGGGGAGCTGCCTTGTCTTGAATTGATTCAAAACATTTACATCTTGTGGTCATTTTGACTTTGGAGAAGAGCCAGAAGTCACACCATATCAAGTCCAGTGAATAAGGTGAATAAGGACACATCATTTTTATGGGCCTGCCTTTACTTTGTTTTTTTATTATTGTTTATATATTTTTATTTTATGGAGAAACAAATATCAATGAGACAGTTTCAAAGCTGATTAATGAAACAGTTTCAATAATTAATACATTGTACATTGTTATCTTCTTAGTGGTAATCCACAGTAAAAGAAGCAGGCAGGATATCCTGTCCAAACACTATTAGTACACCTCTTTCTTCTCATTGAATTAAGTGAAAGTAGCTGTATATATCCTAACTATTCTGTATATACAGATACAAAATGGTCCTTCCTTTGTATCCCCTTTTTTTTGTTTAGTCCTGTCAGAGGTGGGTATTCTATTG